AGGAAAATTTAGATCAATTTGAAGTAATGGAATTTGAATATTTTGTGATGTTGTCATGTTTGCTTTAAGAATTTATATATAAAAATATATTTTACACAAAATATATAGGAAAATTGAGGTGGAAAAACTTGATTTTTAATTTTTTTTGGATCAATTGGTGAAAAAATTTGGCTCCAAAAAGTAAAATTTAAATAGCCATCCAAATGCATTTATATTTTTGAAATCTAACATTTCATCATTTATTACAAAGTTGTCATAAGCAAACATTAAATAAGGGCATAAGGGTAAAATTACTTTATTTCTTAATGCAAGTGCAAATGAAAAAGGTGACTTATAATATGGGACGGAGGGAGTAATATGATTGCAAAGAATAGCGGGTTCTCGTTAATTGATGCCCACTTAGTTTTAGGCCACATGGGCTTGAGTTGGGCTATAATCTAGGGGTGTTCACGGTCGGTTTGAATCGGTTATTGGTCAAAATCAAAATCAAATCAATTTAATCGGTTTATCATTATTATTATTATATCTTACATCCTTTACATTGAAAGGTTATATCATTATTATTATTATATCTTTTTTTCAGCTTCTTGCAAGGCTTCATTCTACTTCATATCCTTCTTGTATTATTTCTACATTCAATAAACTCTTTTTCTTCTTCTAATTCTAATTCTTCTTCTAAGTTAGTTTTGATTAGAGTAATTATAGTTTGTGAATCTTATAGATGTTTCTCCTTTAGTCTTAGTGTAACTTAGATGAGATTTTGGTGTGAGTACTTCTTTTTATTAAATTGTTCTAGGTTCCATTCTAATCCTGCATATTCTTCTGGATTTATTTTTATTGGTTTTATTAACTTTATACCTTTGCTTCCCATTACCTCCACTACATCTTTAGGGCAAGTGAATGCTGCCCATTCTATGCTTTCTTCGTGTATTTTTACCTGCCAATATCCTGACTTACAATCAAATTTACTAATTACCCTTTTTCCTTGGATTCGATTGATTAATTCATTTTTATCTGGTAATTTATATGCATCTGTTCTTGTGTTATCATTAAGTCTTTTGTAATTAATTACCATTCTTGCTTTACCTCGCACTATTTCACCAAGGATAAACATGTAATTACTACACAAAATCCAGATCCAAGTGGAGACAGACTGGTACCAGATATAGAACGTATAAATACAGAACGAGACAAAACTAATACAAGCTCAAGGAGAGACACTTCGGGTAATAATATAACCAGATCCCTAAGTTCCGAAGAAGAAAACTGTGGAGAACATTCATATTATCAAGATGCTCAAGATCCTAATGAAGATGATGATTCCGGAATGAGTTTTGATTCCATAGCTCTGCACAACCTTGATACCTAAAGACGAACAAGACAAAACAAGACAAAGTAGGAATAAAGTGTGCCACGTGGGTATGCCCACATTTGTCGTGTGAGTGCTTACTTTATCACTATCCTCCAAAGAGGAAAAAACTGATAAGCACGCGTCAAAGTTTGTGTCAATAAGTGACAATAATGCATGTGACGATGGGGCCCAAATGTGTACCCGGCATGTATTATTTGATCTTATCTTCAAAAGCATCGGCCAAGTTTAGGCCACTACTTTTTTATCCCACTATCTTAGTGCGTCGGCCACGTTTGGCCATTAGTATTTTTCCACGTTTGGCCACCAGTATTTCTGAACCCCTATAAAAAGATACTACTCCACACTACAGGGAAGTAAGAAAGAAAAACCAAAGAAAAAACATACACCATATACCCCTTGCCAATGTTCTGCAAAATCCTCTCCACTACCCAATCCAAATATCTCTAAAAAATCCTCTTGTAATATTTAGTGTGTAAAAGGTTTGTTTTTAAGTGTGTAAGAGTCAGTCGGGGTTCCCGAAAGGAAAATCTCTCTCCGTCTAAATCATGTAAGTCTCTTATGTTTTCCTGTAGTTTTCCCTAAAAATAATTATGTAAATTATGTTTGTATTCAAGTTATATTAATATGTTTGTATTTAAGTTATGTTAAAAACTACCCTTAGTATATGGTTAGGCTTTTAACTTCTTGATAACAGCGATGGATAATACCTGTAAATTCCTTGGATGTTTTAAAGGCCTTAAAAAGTCCGCAGAAATCACAGGACGTCTTGTTGGCCATCTCCGGGGTGGGGTTAAAGAAGAAGTTATTAAGAATATAGGTTAAAAGAAAGAGATGAACGGGGTAGTAACTTTAAAAAAAAAATAAAAGGGGGGAAAAACAGGTTAAATTCTTGAGATAAACATGATAAGATGAGAGAGGGAGTACTGAGTAGATTTACAAAAATCTGAATATCTGCTATTTCTGCTAATTCATTCACAAATATTGTATATATAATGTATCTATGGATAGTCACTGAATATCAATTTCACTGCGGCATAACTTATCAAGATCATATATTAGAAATCTGTCATTTGATGTATAAATTGATGGGACTCGAGAAAATCACATATATTCATAGAGTGTCTGGACAATCAAGAATCAAATTTTGTCATATTTGCGTCTTTCAGAATGCCAACTACTTTTTCACATGCAAAAAAAAAATTAAAGCATTGACAATTGAATTGGTGAAAATTCAGCAATAATTCATATGAGTATCAAGAGAAGCAGATAAAGGCAACATTTTATTTTATGGGGGATTGATGTATGGAGTGCATTTCAATGGGAGTTCCTAGGGGTATCAAATGGACGGGTTGGGTTGAAATTAGAGATATTAAAATGGATTGATATAGAAATCGGGTTGGGTCTTGACACGCCCAATTTGACCCGATTAATCCCAATAATTTTAACATAGTGACATTTAACTTTTATAATCACAATTCGAATTTTCGCTCAAGTTTTTTTTTTTTTTTTTTAAAGTAACAAATGGTATAGATAAATCTTAAAAGATGTTAATAGATAATAATTCATACCTTTAATATAGGAACATATCTTAGTAAAGAGTTTTAAAACGGGTTGAAATTGGAGATTGAATTGGGCTCAATTGAGAATTCTCTTAAAATGGGTTAGGCTTGAATATGTTGAGGTTGAACCCAATTCAAATTATCTTGAGCCCAACTCTTGAAATTCTGGACGAATTGGACGGGTTACCTATGTTTGGGTTCATTTTTGATACCCCTAGGAGCAATGGCTTAGCCATGCTAGGTTGAGGTTGTCCAGTTACATAATATACATAAGTAAATAATACTTTAAATACTTAAATCAGACGTTTTGGACACCCTTGAAACAATAAAACTTTCTTAGCCTAGTGGTTTCAAACATTAACTTGAAGTCAATGCGCTATGGTTCGATTCCCTTTGGCTGCCTTTTTTTTTTTTTTTTTTTAACATTTTCAAAAGAGCTCCTAATTAATTTCTTAATTGTAGTTAATAAATATATTATTTTCTAAAATAATTCAAAAAAATTAACCTAAAGATTTAGGGGGATAAAAAGCCCAGAAGCCAATTGAATTTTTAATCACTTTTTTTTAATTAAAATTTAAATAAAATATAAAAGTAATTATTTAATTTAAAGTTAATAAAAATCCTATTTTTTTTCCTATAAAGCTATTAAAAGTGAAAAGGCTCCATACAAAATTTCTTTTAATATAATTCGTTTGATTTTACTCTTTATTTTTCATGTGTCGTTATTAGTTATCAGAGGTTCGTGCAATCTTGAAGCATACAAGTGATTTCATTCTAAACTGAATTTTCTCTCCTTTTTTCTTTTCTTTTTTCATTTACTACCTATTAAATAAACATGAACATTAAAGCTAAATATTATGTAGTTTGATTTTAATTTTTTTGGTATATTTTTTAATTAAATTTTTTTATCATTAATGTTACGAAGTTTGATTTACAAAATTTAAGTGCACTTATTCGTTTAATTATTTTTATTACCTATAAGATTTTTGAACCCCCTTCGTTAAATTTCTAGCTACGCCACTGCCTAGGAGTTTGCAGTTACTTTTTTGAATTGTATTCTTCTTAATAAAATGACTATCGGCTTGCTAAAATAAATTCTTTTGTATTTTTTATTTGTCAATTTGATAGCTTGTCTTATATAAAATCATTTTCTTTAGTAGGTCAAAAGTATGCTTGGTACTTTTGGATTGTCAATATATTTTAATTGATTTATCTTTTTCTATGTTTAATTTACATTCCGCTCGGCAAATTTTCACTAACAATAAACTACTTAGAACACTAGTTAATGAGTACA